TGTGGTCCTGGCTGAGCAAACAGACAAAAATAGCAGCAACAGCAAAAAGAAAAGCACCCAAGATGAGGACCAGAGACAAGACAAGAAGGGAGAAGGAGAGAGGAGGGGAAGTGGGATAGAAAGGAGGGAAGTTCAGTGAATGGGATGACTGGTGAGGTTGTCTATTTCAGTGCTCCGCAGAAAGAAACTGAGGTTGTTGGTTTTTTTTCTTCCAAATTATGTAACCACAGGATAAAACCCTGTGGTTCTAAGATCTCTTCCTGATTCCTAAATCTCTTTCCAATGAAGGGCAGAGCAGAGTTGTTTGAGACGGAAACCAGGACATGAATGAAAGTAGCCCACAGAATACCTGTTTGCCTTTCTTGGGCTTGCCTGTTTAATTTCCTTCCAGGCTGCATTTCAGAACAGAGAGAGGCCAGTCGTTCCACAGCTGATTCACGGCAGGCAGGAAGTGCTCCTACACTGCCTCCTTCAGGCCAAACTGCCCAGAGCCGATAGCTACTGACAAGCCAGCTTGCAACAGCTTGCCTCCGAGAGTTTGTGCCACAGGAAAGTCTTGTAGCCCAAATACAGTAAAAAGCACAAGTCACATCTCTGCCCCATGCCCACGAATGTCTTAGAAACTCAATGTTTACATATTACCCTCCGATACCAGACATAGGTGCCGTCTGAGCATTCACTGAGGTTCAGCTACATACAAGAAATTGCTTTAGATGATTTACTTACGTCATTCATTTAGTTAGCAAACGACCGTGTAAACCAGGTGGTTAATTATTACTATTCAAATAAAGAGACTGACACCTGGGTTAAGAAACAGGCCCACGTTCACATAGATATTTAAGTGGCACAATCAGGATTGAAATCCACACTGTGGAATCTCAAAATCCATAACGTTCCCCCCTAGGCCACACTGCATGGCTTTGCAGTTTCTTTGTCTGCATCTCTATCCGAGCACTAGCCACAGGTTTCTTAGAAACAATTTGCTTCTGCCTAAGCTTCCCCTAATGGACCATCCAAGAAGACGCCTGTCATCGTCTCTCTGAGTTCAGCAGCATTGGGAGTCCCCGGGCCCCTGCAGGACTGCAATTATGTCAGGGCTTCTGTAAGCAATTTGTCACTTGAACACTGCCCTGGCGAGACTTATAAACAGTCCTAGAACTCCAAATTTTGCCTCTGTTCCTCCATCCAGCGATTTTAAACTGGTGTGCTGCAATAATTTTTAAAACATGCAATACCTGACTATTTAGTCTAGGGCACTGACCTCGTTTCCCTTAGACTGTCAAATAAAAAATGACAACGGCCAACATAACCATAGCTGTCTGGTGTGAATGAATCAAAATTATACTTTTTTTTTGTCAGATGGGCAGAAAATATATCTTTTTGGTGTGGTGCAGAAGTTTAGTAATTAGTTTATGTGTGCTATGAGATGAAAAGGGTTGAAAATTGCTGCTCTAATGTACTGGATGAGAGATTTCTTTTTTCCCCCCCTTTTTTGTGCAATTAAAAAAATTCTTTAGCTTTTGATATTTTTTAAAATGCTAGATTATAATCCTTTTTTTTCTTTGCTTGAGGACATCAGTCCATATAATTGGAGTGTTTTACATGAGAAGAAAAGGGTTAATTAATGTCATGTTTAGATATCTTTTTCACAACTAAATCTTCAGAATTATATACATATATATATATATTTTTTTTTTCCCATGGCAGAGAGTGGAAGGTATTGGGAAAGGCTATTATCGATATTAAGCTTCATGGAGATGCTCTGAAAATTATAAAATACTGTATAAATATTATGCAGTTTTATTGTAATTATTATTCTATGGGAAGAACAACTGGGAGACGTTCAAGAAAATCAGTTCTCAAATGTCTCCCATCTCTAACTTTCTTGAATGTCTCCCATCTCAAACAATTTGGTTCTTGACCAAGTTGTTCATGGCAAAATGTCTCGGTTGTCAAACAAAACTTTGGTCCTCATACCAACAAAACTTTCATGCTGATACCTGTGTGCCAAAAGAGAGAATGTGCGAGTATTAGTCAGTTTACTGCTAAACTTCGTGTTGTTAACATCTCAGGAAATTGTGCTGTGAATATTTTTGTGTGTCTTTTTGTGTTGGTCTGGAATTAATTAATTCAATTTACATTATTTCCAATGGGAAAAAAATGATTCCATTTTCGAACAGCCTTCTGGAATGAATTAAGTTTGAGAACCAAGGTTCCACTGTAATTGGATTCTTTTTAAAAAGTTTTGAACATGCCAGTTTCAAACTTCATGAAGTTTTCACAAACAATCAGACGAGTAACAAAAACATAAGCCTCAGCTGCTTTTCCCCACATTGCTCGCCCACTGCAAATGGGTTGCCACTTTCCTCATCTCTATAATCAGCTTTGACTGTTGTGTTTTTTATTAGGAGCCACTGGGTTCAGGAGGGCAGGGCAAAGTAGCAATGTAACACTGCGTGGTTAAAAAATTGAACACAAGTGTGTCTAGATCCTGAGAAAGGGAGAAAACCAGATAGGTCAGTGGTTCTCAACCTTCCTAATGCCGCAACCCTTTAATACAGTTCCTCATGTGGTGGTGACCCCCAACCATAAAATTATTTTCGTTGCTACTTCATAACTGTAATTTTGCTACTGTTATGAATCATAATGTAAATATCTGATATGCAGGATGTATTTTCATTGTTACAAATTGAACATAATTAAAGCATAGTGATTCATCACAAAAACAATGTCATTATATATGTGTTTTCCGATGGTCTTAGGCGACCCCTGTGAAAGGGTCGTTCAACCCCCAAAGGGTCGTGACCCACAGGTTGAGAACCGTTGAGATAGGTGATCTCATATCAAAGGTGCTTTCTCAAGTGTAACTTACAAAAGAGAGGCTTTTTTTAAGGCCATTAAATGACTATTTACAGAAACTAACAAAAGCATCAGGAGCTTATAATTTCCTCTGTGGCTATGGCCCAGGATTGTGTGAATGGTTAGAATGAAGAGAAATGAAAACCCCAGGAGGAATGAGATGGTGATACTCCGGAGAGAATGACCCTACAATTTCTTTATTGTTATTAAAACACTCTTGTTCCTATCACAATAGCTTGCATTTTTGTGTTGGCCCTTTTCTTTCTTTTGAAAACATTCTTTATTTCCAGGAGCATCTCCTAATTCTCTTTTCGTTCTAAATGTCGAAGAAAACCATGAAACACGTAGAGTTCTTCAGGGCAACTGCTGAAAAGTCGGTTAGGAAAAGATCTTCTCAGTAAATAAGCAACTCAGGAAGATGAAAGGAAACAGAAGAGCTTTATTGAAGTCCTCCGAATAAATGTTCGGAGATGAGAGAAAAGAACTTTAAACCCATGAATAAACAATTTGAAATAGGTAGTCATGTATTTTACCCGACGTGTAAGTACAAGCAAGCAGACTGAGAAACAACGTTTCCCCATGGAAGGAACATCGTCTCTCTCTGTCCGCAGCATCAGCATTATTGCCCAAGTCAGTGCGTCACAAATGTGTCCGCAAGAATAGTCCTGAAAGTGGCGGCCAGCATGGACCTGCGCTCAGTGTTCTGCCATGTGGCCTAACAACTTGATGTCAGCAAACAGTCTTCTGAAGGATCGTGTTGTATATGAACAGTTCATACAAATTCAGCATTCTATTCCACAATATAGGTCTTGCCTTAGTACAAAATATTTCTCCCAAAATTTTGAGTAAAACTGATGCTCCGAGAAGATTGTTGTATCCACCTATGATTTTTCCTACAGGGCGCCTGGACTATGAGAATCCCAGTTTAGGAACACATTCTAAGAAACACATTCTAAGTGGATTACTTAATATCATCTCTACTCAAAACGCAAGCATCTAACATTAAATAAGGTGGAGAACCACACAAATGAAAGAAACCTGCTCACAACTGGCAAACTGATTTGTGTGTGCTTAATGACTTCTGCTCTGACATCTAAAAAGCATTACCAAGCGATCAGCAAGAGGAAAAAAAAAAAAAGCAAGTTGGCCTCATTAACCATGAGGTCCAGATGTCTGTCATCTATATTTCTCTTTCAGCAAACCACTAACTAACAAGCCTGTCTAACATACTTCTCTTTCCAACATTTTCAAACTTCTATCATTTTCAAAAAAGTCTTTTTCTTTGCTTTCTACAGCCAGCCATTGCTAGCAAAGCACTCCTGACCTTCTAGCAAAAATGCTCTGAAATGTCAGTCTGTTACATAAAAAGACGAATGTAATAAACTTAAGTCTTTCCCTTCACATTAAACAGGAAATCATGCTGAAATAAAACAATACCTAGATGGGTGGAGAAACTTAAAGTGATTACATTTCCACTCACAGCAGCAGGAGACACCCCCCGACCCCACATCACACAATCCCTTCACTCCATCTTCATGCTTAAAAGAAAACCACACTTCGTGTCAGAAACACGGCTTTGGAAGGCAAGCACTATGAATGAGTCAGCACCTGTACTCTTGCCCCTGACATTTGACCCTGCAGTTCCCTGCTTGTATGTCCAGATCCTCTGCTGAATGGGGAGATCCTGGAGGGCAGGAGTCCTTGCTTCGGGCTCATCTTTGCATCTCCAGTCTCTGGCTCAGTGAGAGTGTGTTGAAATGTCCATTTCTGACTATTAAGTGGACTGGCCTTTGTTTTTCATTTCTAAGTTGAATAAAAGATCTCCCCGTTTGGACTACGTTCACATGCTTTCTTCGCTAAGAACAAGGTGAGGAGTTCGGTGTGGGTACAGGAGTGTGCAAAACCAGCAACAGTCATAATCTGCCAAGTGGGAATGGGGGCAAGGCACCAAGATTAAGAGGTTAAGAGGCGGATCACAAAGCCTGCTATTTTGCCAAATGAACAGTAATGTAAACTTATCACCGATAAGGGAGATTGGTTGTAGGAAACTCTGGGTCCCATTTCAAATGAGATAATATAGGAACATTTTACAAAAAATATATCAGGCACCTAGTAAGAGCACCTATAGTAACCCTGTTAGTTATTATTGTTCTGTCTGTACCTTCTGGATACATTCTGGCTTTGCTTCGTTATCTCCCCTCACCATGAAACCCTAGGATCAATGACATGACATAGTGTTTGTAAAGTGTTTTGAAATCCCTGAAGTGTTATAATCAACCCAAGTACCATTTTATTTATGTAAACGGTGTCTACCTGGCGAGTCCACTTAAATATCTGGGATTGGGAACCTCTGTCTCATAAGGCTTAATAAATGATTCCCTCTGGCTCTAAAAGCAAGTACTTTTTCAATGACAATGGGAGGGAAAGCAGAGGAATTACTCTGTGACATCTGTTGTGTAACGTTCTTCGGATGGCGCATCTCGATAAATGCATGAGAGTCCTTGGAGAGTTACTGCACACAGTGAAGAGAGAGTGGTAAAAGTCCCAGTGTCTCTGAAAAGGAAGGGAAGGCAGGTTACAGTCAGAAAAGTCCCACCGTTGCCATCCAAAGAAATCAACAATGATGATTTGAGGCCTGACTTTCTACTTAATGGCAGCTTTCTAGGGTCTCCTATGGTAAGACAAATGCTTTTCTGTACTTGCATTTCGGTCTGGAAGTACTTTGCAGTGAAAACCAGAGGAAGTGAATTGATTCTTTACCTCCAAGTCATCATCAGGGATAGCCCGTTTCCACTTCACATTCCACTTGATGTGTTCGTAGGCATTGACTACAACTTCGATCGCTTTGGGACAGGAATGGCAAGCCTGGATCACCTGCAGATGAGGCAGAGTTTCGTTTATTTAATGCACATCGATGACTCAGTCATTCCACTCACAGAGGCTTCATGAATGTATTGACCTATTGGGCTCCTTGGAATGCTGCAATGCTTTTGAGAAGTCTCATGACTTTAAGTATCCACACACCGCCAGCCTCCATGGCGGATGGATTAATAAAATCAGACTAATTTCCTTCACCATCCAGAAGTAAGTGAAAAAAGAAGTTCTAACCAAGAAGGTGGGAGCCTGCTGAGATGCATGCCCTGCCCTTACAGCCCTCACACCTCCCAACAGCTTCTGTGACCATCAGAAGACCTGTCGCTCCTTTCTGCCAAGATGGCCCTATCGGTGGAAATCCTTTGGGTGTGGGCTATTTTCATTTCAAAGTGACCCAGCTGGCTCTTCAATGTGACCCACAACTGGGCCACAGGAAACCTGTATCTCTATCCTATCAGCAGCAGCAAAAGCACCCATGATTCCCAATTTTATCACCTTCATTTCTTTTGCCACCAGGCAAGCAGCTTCTGCCACGGACTTTCTCCTTTACATTTTCTCATCATGAGTTATACATCAATTTCATTTTCCCCTTGAACATATCAAGCTCTTTGCCGAGTTCTCTGAAAGCCTCTCTCACTGGAGGTGAGATGAGGAGGAAGCCCCCCAACCCTACCACTGTAAGGAAGGCATGCCTCTGCACTAACTTTCTCCAGAGAAATGTCTCCCTTATCTTAACCTATTGTCCTTGGGGAAGAAGTCACAAAACTAGTTTTCCTGCTCTCCTTTACCAGTCCCTCATAGTCCCTCATAGGTGGTCTGGTATTGCATTTTTCAATGTGCTAATAAATACCTAACATCCTGGGTCCCTCAGAGAGATTGTAATTTTAATACCGGTGTGTGTGTGTGTGTGTGTGTGTGTGTGTGTGTGTGTCCAGATCACCTGATTGGAGGTCAGTCTGAATGGAGGGTCCATGTCGGAAAGCAAAAGATAAGAGCAGGTAAGATGGAGTCAGTGGACAGTACATCTGGAATGCCAGTCTGAGGAGCTAGGGATTGACTTAACAGGCAATAGGAGGAGGTTATTACATATTCTTGACAAAAAAAGAGTTATATGCAACCAATTCATTGCATTGGGAAGCCTTCTTGGGCACTATGTTAGCACTATGGCACTATTCTGAAAAGTTCATGACCTGCTTTTTGTCATTAAGGAGTTTGCAACCTACTTGAGGAGAAAAGATATAGGTATTTGAAGTTGGAGACAATATAAGCCAGTAAATAATAAGGGACTATGTGATGAAGATCGTCAAGTGTCCCTTGAGCACCATGAGCAAAGCACCCAATGGTTTCTCAGCTGGTCTCACTGTTAATCATGAGAATGAAGGGTAAGTGAAACTTTGAGAAAGAATCGGGGCTTAATGACTAATCAGATATTGGGAATAAAGAATGCAACTTTGACATTTGAGATCAAGGAATAAGGAAACTGGAAGGTCAGACTAATTTGGAGATGGGCAGATGTGGAGCAGGAGAATCTTTCATATGCAATGTCTTCATGGCAATCAAAAATGTACATGGTAGATTCTCCTATACAGGCAAGGTGAAGATGGAGACTTTTGTACCATCAGAGAATGTGCTGGCTAAACCTATGATGCTCAATAATACTATACGTGGGTATAAATGGAAAAGATAAAGGACCATGGTATGAGGAATCTGAAGCTAGCAACATGAGGTCACTGAGTGTATGGTTGGGAAGAAATGTGCAGTAACATCATTATATAGTGTTTCCACCATATAGACACAATAGATGCAAATAACATCAACAGTATAGATAATTAGGAGCTAAAGCGTTTTGAATATTTGTTACCTTTGTTTTTAGTACACTTTATTTGTTGGCTTATATGATTTAAGTTTGCACAATGGTTGCGTTTAACAATAAGCTTACAAAATTTAACCACCAGCTCTCATGAGCTACTGTGAGCCAATGCCAGCATACAGCTGCGTTTGGTTGTGCCTGTCTTTAAGAAGCACAGTCATAAACCATTGAAACTAAATGTATATATTAAAGCTCCAAACCAGTGAAGGCATTAGAATCATCCTGTCCAGTGGCTGGGTCCAAATAAGCACTGCCAGAGGCTAAAACCAACAGTAGTTAGCATAAATGCAAAAAGACCCATTGGAAGGCCAATGGACTTTGATATTCAGCAGGGCTGAAGATCAGCATAATATTGCCCTGCTGTGGACTCAGTGGCTGAAGGCAATTCCCTAACCCCGTGGTCGGCAAACTGCGGCTCTTGAGCCACATGCGGCTCTTTGGCCCCTTGAGTGTGGCTCTTCCTAAGCCTTAGGAGTACCCTAATTAAGTTAATAACAATGTACCTACCTATATAGTTTAAGTTTAAAAAATTTGGCTCTCAAAAGAAATTTCAATTGTTGTACTGTTGATATTTGGCTCTGTTGACTAATGAGTTAGCCGACCACTGATCTAGATGAGTCTCAACTGGGCTGACTGGGCACTTCAAGTCTCTGCCTCGTATCTGTTCCATGCCAGTAGGCTCCCTCAGGAATGTCCTCATGGAGATGACAGAAACACAAGAAAGAGCAAGGCCTCTCGAGTTGTAGACTTAGAAGCACCATATTTGCAGTTCTGCTTCATTCTATTACCCAAAGCCAGGCACACGGTCAAGTCCAGAGACAGAGGCAGAGGACACTTCAAAGTTAAATGCCCAAGGGGGTGGATGCAGAGAGGGTAAAAGATCATTCAACCCATCAGCAAGACCTATCAATTCTACCTTAGAAATACTTTCCACACCTGTCCAATACTCCTTCTATCTTATTGCTACCACCACTTCAGTTCACCATGATCTCTCTTACCTATCACCACTCTAGCCATAAGTGGATGCGGCAAAGCACAACATGTTTAATGAGAGGTTCCATTCACATACATATTCTGGGCCCAGAGCACAAAGCTAAGCTGCTGAGCATGGCTTTTTCAGCCAGGTCTAAACAAATAAAGAATAATCCGCTATCATCAACCCATAAGGGGGTATGCAGGTGGGCTTGAGCCAGAGATCCATTGCTATGGGACTTCTGAAGAGACGGTATTTCTGAGTCTACAGAAAGTATAACTCAAAGGATTTCTATCTGGGCACATGGCTGTCAGGGTAGTCAGGTAATTGTCCAGGACCTTGATCTTGGAAAACTGAGGCAAATAGGCCTGATTTTTTTTCCTGTAGCTGAGATGAGGATGGCATATATGTAGCTCCATGCAAAAGAGATAGAGAAAACTTAGACTGACTAATTGCTTTAAACACTAGTTATAAACTACCATCATAGTATCATAGAATGTTAGGGTTGCAAGGAACCCTAGAGATTATCCAATCCCCCTAATTTAGAGATAAAGAAATTGAAACCCAGAGAGATCCACATTAAGAAGAAGCATAGTCGACTTGGAAAAATGGCGGAGGCTTAGACGGACGTGTTGGTGCTTTGTCCCGGAGCAGATAGGGGCGAGCAGCTGAAACGGGTAACAATCAGCCCGATCAAGCTGGGGAGGTTCAGCTGAGAGACAGTCTGCAGCCAGGAAAGACAGAGAACTCCTAAAAAATGCGGATGGTTAGAGATTGAGGCTGAAACCTCCCCCTGGGCGCCAGCGCAGCGGCGAGACCGCGCCATCTTAGGGAGCTGTTACCGGCATCCAGAGATTGGCTACTAACCCGGCGGCTACTAACCCGGAGGCAACGACTCGCAAGCAACGCGACTGTAAGAGCCCAGAGGGGACCTGCACCCCTCCACGGAAAGATTCAAGCAACAGCGGCCTCCTGATCACCACACGCTCTGCCTGGGGAACAGTTGCTGTGTGTGAAGCCTCCCTCCACCAGCCAGAAGAGCCACCACAGCTGTGAACAGCACCCACCAGAGGCCCTGCTATCAACAGAGGAGCCGCTGCTACCACAACCGCCCAAGGAGCAACCACAGCCCGAGGAGCCACTGCCACCCAGGGAGCAGCCACTGCCACCCAGGGTCCAGCCACTGAACGACTCAACAACTAGTCATGTCAGTGAGATCAAACATGGGTAGACAAAGAAACCCCCAAAGGAAAGAAAAGGAGGACTCACCAGAAAAGCAGCTAAGTGAGACAGAGATATGCAACATGACAGAAAAAGAATTCAGAATAAGGTTCCTAGAGTACATGCACCGGATGTTCAAGAAGCAAGAAGAAACAGATGAAAAACTCAACTACTTATGCAAGAAGCTAGAAGAAACAGATGAAAAAATCAACAACTTAAGTAAGTCCCAAGAAGAAATGAAGAGCGACATAGCTTCAATAAAAAACTCCATTGAAAGTATCAACAGTAGACTGGGAGAAGCGGAGGACCAAATTAGTGAATTAGAAGACAAGGAAGCAAAACACACTCAAACTGTACGGCAAATGGAGAAAAAAATTAAAAGACAGGAGGAGAGCCTAAGGGAGCTTTGGGACAACATGAAACGAAACAACATACGAATAATAGGGGTGCCAGAACAACAGAAAGATGAACATGGATTAGAAAACCTATTCGAAGAAATAATATCAGAAAACTTCCCTGAGGTGGGGAAGAAAAAAGTCACACAAGCCCAGAGAGTCCCAAACAAGGTGAACCCGAAAAGACCCACACCAAGACACATCATAATTACCATGGCAAATGTTCAGGATAAAGAGAGAATCTTACAGGCTGCAAGAGAGAGACGGAAAGTAACATACAAGGGATCTCCCATTAGATTATCCAATGATTTCTCAACAGAAACACATCAGGCCAGAAAAGAATGGACGGAAATCTACAAAGTGATGCAAAGCAAAGGACTGAATCCAAGAATACTCTATCCAGCAAGGCTATCATTCAAAATTGAAGGGGAAATAAGAAGCTTCACAGACAAAAAAGGGCTAAGGGAGTTTATCACCACCAAGCCAGCCATGCAAGAAATGCTAAAAGGACTGGTGTAAAAAGAAGAAATATCAAGCTCAG